CCAGCTGAGCTTAATCCTTTAATTAGTTGCTCGCTGGCTCCTCCTCCAGGTGCAGCTTAAGTGGTTAATTGGCCCACTTAGCCACCTTTAACCGCTTCAGGGATGGGTGTGTGGTATCCCGTACAGCAGTTACGTGTTCTAGTTGAAAAAAAATCTGTGGCGCAATGAAAACTGGGGGGCATTGTAATATAACTGGAATGTGATATCAAAATAAATAACAATTGATAGGTACTACTTGTATTATTCCTTTTGCTATTTAATTCAATAAACCCAAAGCCATCATAACATTTTCAGTTTGCTGCACTGAGGTGTAACAAAAACCAGGGGATATTGCTAAATTGACTGACCTTCCAAGCCATATACAATAATCTTCAGAAGTTCAATAGCTGGGCGTGCCAGCTGAGTCTCGGGACTTCTGCCCTGTGGCAAGGTACTGGGGCTCAGGGATTCTGTCCTGAGCGGAGCGGGGTCTCTGGGTCCCAAGCCCCAGTAGGCGCACCCTGCGTCCTGGCAGGTACCTCCCCCGGGTAGGTAGGTCTGGTAGGTGGAGAATGGGGGGAAGGGGCTCCATGAGCTGCACTTTTAACTGTAAAAAAAAAGCCACATGCGGCTCAGGAGCCACTGTTTGGCCACCCCTGTTCTATAATTTAGATCCTTCCAGCTTGCCACAGAGCACATCGGAACATACGAATTGCCATGCGGGGTCAGACACAAGTTCCATCTAGTCCACTATCCTCTCTCTCTGTGGCCAGCACCAAATGCTTCAGAAGACCGTGCAAGAAACCCTACAGTAGGCAGTTGTGGGATAATTTGCCTTCTATGAATCTTAACACCTTATAGCTAGATTGGCTGAAGTCTTGAAGCATGAGTTTTAATAACCCTTCAAAAACCATTTTTAAGCCTACATTAAAATCTATTACTAATTTATTTAAATTTTTGTATGTACTGAAAAATCTCTTCATTAAGAGCCTCCTTCTGTTTGCTTGTTCAAAGAAATTATTTCCCTGATGATGGTAACAAAACCATTCCTGGCACAGAAATTATGATATCACAAGCACAGGTTTATGGTGTCATGAGACGAATTGCCTCTTTGCAAATATTTATCTTCAAGAAATAGTCCACCCCCACAAACACACAAAAGGCATATTGCATTAGTTGTGGATGATGAATGGTATACTACAGTACAGCATATATACAGATGGTGCTGGAATGTTTGTGTAGTCTAGGTGTCACTGAAGAACTTGGTTAGGTTGTGCTAGAGTTGTGTCTGTTTACACTAAGGGTGTATTTTTTTCCTTGACTGGATAAATTATGCACTGCCTGTGAAAACAATACCAGTTCACATTGCCAAATGGTTACATGTCAATTCTAACTTTTACTACCAGCATTATATATTTTTAACTTTCAGGTTTTGGAGACATACTATGCTGCATGTATAATCAAAATTGTATAACAATGCATATCCTGTAGAGGCTTTGTGATGGGCGAACCTCAAAAGGTTTGACAGTAGGAGTTTGATTTGGATAAATTTTCAGAATTCTGTATACTTCTCTAAAGTATCTGAACCTTCTGAGTGCAAATTTTGAACTGGAAATCTGATGAAAACAGGCTCGCTAGTGGGAATTTTTGTACTAAGATTCTACTTCCTGTCAGTACTATGAGAACAGCCTTGCTCATGCTATTTTGGTGCTCCCATTTCCAACCCTGGCCAGAACAAGAAAGTCCAGAAGTGCACTGAAATTAAAAACAACCTGACAAATCCCTAGATCAAGACTGTCAGTATGATGCATGCTGTGGTCACTCAGAACTTCATAGCAGCAGGGGGACAGAAATCAGATTTTCCTGCTCCAGAGCTACAGTCTTTTACCTAAGGAAAACCTCTGTTAGAGCACATATGCTCATTTCATTCTCCACTGAATTACACACACACAAATTAGTGTAATTTCATTGTCTTTAGTGAAGTCATAGGATTTATTGTCCTTTACATCACTTTTTGTATGAACACCCATCCCCACCCAGTTTAAAGGCATGGCCATTATATTCAGTAGCAATGGTAATCAGCACTGACTGTCAAAGAATAATAACTTTTAAATGGCTTAAACCACTAGTTTATTGGACCACGCAAAGCAACTCTTCCTCCCTGACAATTGGCTAGCTGCATGCCATATTTGAAAGGTTAAAATTCAGCCACTTTTCATCTTCCCCCCAACAAACGGACTGAACACATTTTTAAAGCACATACATTGAATTTTTTATTCCATCTTAAATATAACTATATTACTACAATAGCTAGAACTTCTCAAATAATGAGGAAAATAGGTTTAAACATATTTGCAACTAGATGGCTTGATCTGAATTTGCTGCCACTCATGGGGTTGTTATTTCCAAATATTTGACCTGTCATTGGCATTCATGAATGTATTTGTGTTGTGTATATAGTGTGTTATTCATGACTGTTTACATTTGTTATTCTCCTGTGAAAATGTCAGTCACTCAGTTAGGGAGCAGAACCAGTACCAGGCTATTCACAATTTGTGATTTCTGGTTAGTTGTCGTGAACAGTTACCAATCTGTTTGCAAACCATCCACAGTGTAAAAATCACTAGCCCAAACTAGTCAGCAAATATGGATGAAAAACATATGCAATCTCAGAAAGGCTTTGTGAATTGATCACCAGAAAAAAAGGGGGGCCTAAATTCATAACATTTTTGGTTTGTTAATCACCATTTGAGCTGCTTTGACAATAACAATGGGGAATTTGTGTACCTGGGAGCCCAGGACTAACATTTATAATCTGCCTATCATTTTGAAAAGTATTTTTACAGTTAATTGTGGGGTAGGGGATTTTTTGCTAGCATCTAAGTTTCTAAATTGTCTTTTTCTTTAAAAATGATCTTGGTACATTTCAAAAGGTTAATTTCTACTTAAAGATTCATTCCTCTGCTTTAGGAAATGCATCATGCACCAAACTTCTAAACAGTCATAGAGCAAGCTGGTACTGTTCACAACAAGAAGTTTATTTGTACCAGACATTTGCAAATAAGTCATTGACACTTGTGCAACAACAATAGCGGCTCCAAAAATAACACAGAACTGCCAGCATAAACAAGTTTCCAATGAGATCCACCGTACGTTCATCTCCAACAGGGTCAGTCACAGCAGTGGTGCTGAGAGTAATAGCGAAGGGAACAGATGGAGTTCTGTAGCGCAGCAGCAGCCACCTCCTGCTTTCTTCTCTTCCTTCCTTTGCAGCTGCCTTTCAGCAGAAGGAGGTGGACTGGGAATCCCAGGTCACCAACAGGCTGTTGTCTATGCTAACGGCCCAAACGGAGTGTTTTTCTTAAAAGTTTTGACACATCCAAGACCTGTAGAAACACTGAGGTTTGAATAGGCCAGAAAGCCATGCCTGGTGCTGCTGGGGGAAATGTCGACTTTACATTTTTAAAACGATTTTTTCCTAGTTTGTGCCTCCCACCCAGGAAATCGCTGTTTCCCTCTCTGGGCTTTACTTCCATCCCACTCCATTCGTATTGTATTGAAAGCCCTTAAGGGTAATCTGCAGGGATCTCACACAGCAGATTCTCTTCTGCCCATTCCTGGAGGGTGGAGGTGAGACTGGGGCTTTGCAACCAGAGCAGCTCCCTTTCTCCCCTGTCCTTAGGCCTTTGCGTAGGGAGTGTCAGCAGAGGAATCCATACCCCAAGCACCTGATAACCTCTGTCCTGTCCCTCCTCCCTTCAATCACTCCCTATGCCTCTCTCTCATCTCCTACTATGCTGCACTGAGCAGGTAAGCAGCCGACTGGCAGAGCAGTGAGAGGGCACAAGGAGAATGAGAGGAAATATTCTGCTACTCAGCAACTGTGACAATGGCCAACAGAAAAGAGCAAAAACTGTTGAGGAAAATTTTTCCCTTCTCCCAACCTCATCTGCTGACTAGAGCTGGTGGAAAAAAAAGAATCAACGAAAAAATTTGATGGAAAATGTTTTTTTTTTTTTTTTGCTGAAACAGAACTTTCCTTGGTAAATGTCTGTTTTCTGTACTTTTTTCCACACAGGTTTTTTAGGTTTTCAAGAAAAAAATCTTGAAAACCTGAAAAACAAAATTTTTCAGTTTTTGCAGGTGAGGTGAAGAGCAGGGAAGGCAGGATAGAAAGAGGATGGTAAGGGACATAAGAAACCAGGGTGAAATGTTGACCCATGTTTTAGGAGTCAGATGCCACATTTGGAGGGTCTGTGCTCCATATTGCAATATCAGAAGTTATGGGGATAAGTGCATAGAAATATTTTAATTGCTGTCATTTAAAATGTTTAAAATCCATAAATACCATAGGATGCAATACAATGCACTCAGGACAAAGGTGGGTGATGCAACAATTCATATACTATGTATGTAATATGATGTGATGTATGTTTCTATGCTGTTATGCCATTATGTGGTAAAAATGTATTCATTTTAGAGAAGTTAATGAGTATTTCTGAAAGGAGATTGCATCTCTGCAGCTATTTGGGGGCAATAACTAGAACACCCCAGTTGCTTAGCAACAGTTTCTTCAACTCTTGTTTCATGATGTTAGGCTTTTGAAATGTCATGGTGGAGCCAAATTCAGCCTTCAGTTTATTCCGGTAGCAACTCAATAAAGTCAGTTCTTTTTTCTTCTTCTTCTTTTTCTAAATGTTCACAACCCAATTTTGATTTCAGAACATTTATTTCTGATTCAAAATATTGACTGAACAGTTTCTATACAAACAAATTTTAGCCTATGAGCTCTTCGCATGCTGTTCACTTCAGCTATATGCTATTTATTATTTGTGGTATGTGATGGTTTTCTGTGGCCAGTGTTTCTGCTCCCTGATTGGATGATTGATGGCTTGTATTGAGCAAGCCAACTCCCACTTAAGTAATGGGGAGCAGCAGATGTTCACAGTCTTGAAAAGCAGGCCATGAATCTTTTTTCAATAAGAGTTTAACAAAGGGCATATACCAGACAATTAATAGCAAATAATAGATTGCAAATCCTTTTGGTTTTGTACGTACACCACTGTTCACAAGAGAACATTCCATTCTCCAAGAATTCATGTGAATGAAAACCCATTCATACAAATGGTTGCAAATAACAAATAAAAGGGATACAGACATAGTGGAACTGATCAGCTGTTCAAAACTGGAACAAACGTTCACAGACATGGCATTTGCAGTATTTGACCAGCTCTGCCTGAGAGCAGACTTTGACCCTTTATTAGCAATTTGTCAGTAGAAGTCTTTGATTTTGTCATATCTGTTGTTTCATTATGGTAGCATTTGACTGGTCTAAGATGTTGCCTATCTTTGTGACTACATTTCAGTTAACCAGCACTTACATGCTGTGATTAATATAAATATGCCATATTGATTGAGTACAATCTCTGGCTATTTTCTATCTGTGTTCTCTTACCATTGGGTATCTGAACAGCTGTTCTATTTGATTTCCTAGACTCTGGATATTATATGCATGCAGATGGGGGTATTTTTATTTTAAAAGTAGTTATTCTTGAAAACCAATGGGGAAAATTCTCCTCTCAGTTGCATATACACAGTTCTCATTTAAGTCAGTGTTGCATAAATGACACTACAGATATCTGAGAGGAAATTGACTACAGGTTCCACCATATCATAGTGAACAGATACCATTAACTTGAAAAGTATCTCTGCTTCCTGAATGAGCAGCTAAAATAAATGTTTTTTTTTGTTCTTTAGGCACATGTATTAAAGTAAATGGCAAAACTCCTATTGACTTCAACATCCAGCCTGTACAGTATACAGTGTTGCCAACTCTTGTGATTTTTGTGGAAAATTTCATAATATTTGGTAGGCTTTTTTTCTTGTGTTTTTTTAAAAACCCCTACAGTCAAGAGACTGCCTGAAAACCTCAGCTTTTAAAAAAAGTTTCTAGCCCTCTCAGTGCTGTAAAAAATATGAAAATATGAAACAAAAGCACCCTAAAAATCCAGAAGCCAGATGGCAACTCAAAAGAATCCCAATTTTTAAAAAATATCTAATGATTTTTAAGCCAATCTACTTATTTTGCGGCCTGACTCATGATGTCTTGGCAATACTAAGTATATCTTTCAATCCACCCCATTCAATAAAGACCTACACTTAAACAGCAGGCAAGGAATGTGGGTAAATATTTTTGGGAAAAAGGACATTTAATATATTTCATCTTATTATACATTATTTTTCTAAATTACAAAGTCATCAGGCAGCACATATATTCTGCTACAAAGCTTTTTGTAAGAAATATCTCTATAAGAAAATACATCTCATTAAACATTTCCTGTAAATAAATTACTCCAAATACTAAGTTTTGTGGCGAGAAGGGGAGGTTATGCAGAAGTCAGGACATAAGATGCAAATCACTGGGGAGGCCAATTCCGCAACCTCCTACTCACATTGAGTAGACACACTGAAGTGAGTGAGACTGCTCTTATATGTATGTGCTGTTATGGTGTACGGGTTTCAGAATTGACCTCTATATTTCAGTTGTTCTGCTGAAATGATTCACCTTACAGACCTTATTTCTGTTCTCAGTTGCACTGAAGAAACTCCATTGAAGTCACTGGAGTTGCAGTAATATAGCACTTGTGACAGTGAGATTGGAATCAGATCATCACTTTTTAAGGAATATGAGAGCCTATTTCTACAGACCATTCCCTTTATAACAATAAAAACTGGCTTGCATATGAAAAATATTATCCTATAAATCATTCTCTTTAATCCGATATATACGTTGGAATTTAGATTCTTATCAGAGATACAGGAAGTGTAGTTCAGATCTGATTTCCAGTAAGAAAGTTTGAGTCAGAACATGTATCTGAACCATTATTTGTACAAAAAGCACAGGTGCAGAAATGCAAGGGTGGGGAAAGGTGCCATAAAGGGCGGGGGGGAGGGGTCAAAAGTTGGTCTTCACAATTAAAGTCAAGTACTCTGCTGTACCCAAGCTGTTTGGAACTGATTAACCAAAGGGGAGAGCCATTGTCTTATAAAATGTGGAAACAGATATTTCAGTAAGTTAATTATATAATCAGATGTTTTTTAAAGAAATTCCGGTCTCTTTACTAACATTTACACAGATAACATTCTTTAAAATAAGTGAGCAAAGTAAGAGGAGGTGCAAAGGCATTAAGAGAGAAGTCAGATGGTGGACATCCTTCGTTTTAGCCAGTTCACGAACAGGGTAGTTATGTTAACAGATTTCTTTAGCCATTGTAGTCAATGTGAATCCACTGTTCACAACAATATCCAAACTGTTAGCATGCATTCAACCAGAACCTGTTCTCTTTTCAGTCTGAGCTGTTGTGTCAGATCTCATGATGATTCGCAGCATGTCATAGATGATAGCATCACATGTCACTGTCTGTTCTTTAGGAGAGGCGATGAGATGCTTGCAAAAGTCAACTTTTTAATTTTTTTGCTGATTGTGTAAGGTGAATCCAATCCATTTTAGCCTCTCCAAACCATAGAAGAACCAGATTTACACTAACAGCCTATTGTTACTGTTATAGTATAAAACTTTTAATTTATTAGCATGCAATCTAATTGTAGCAGATGCATGCAGCATCTCTTATAGTTAAGGTTGCAAAACAATTTCTGTTATCACCTTCCATATTCAGATGTTCATAACTTTTCCAAATATCATCTTTATGGAACTATCTATAATGCAGGCATGTTCTGAGAAGAAAACTATATTTAGTAGCTCAATGAGCAACTGAATGGGTATCATTCTGGATGCATCATGCACATATTTTGCTTTTTCTGCTCAGCCCATGTATGCTAGCAGTATACTGAGACGAATACAAGCTATTAATTATAGTAACTGAAGACGAACCAATTAAGGCATTTCAGTTTAAATATTTATAGAATTATATATATATATTTCAAACAAAAAACCCTGTTTAAATGCCTCTGATCAGAAGAGCTGCCACTGGTGTTTTGAAATCACTATGTGGTGAGATTTTGCCACTCCCACTGGGGCCTGCAAAATCCAGCGCTCTTGCCCTGCAGGAGTGCTTTCCTTTTTCAAGTGACAGCCCTGATTAACAAGGTGTGTGGACATTCACAGTAACTTTTATTCCCATCTCTAACAGCTGCGATTTATCACTAATATTTTAGTAGCCAATAATGTGTTGACAGAAAAAGTCTTCCTGTAAAGCACTGCTTTGTGTTGGAATATGCTGTATACAATTTATTTAACAGTCTATTACCATGGTGGAAACCTATCCCACGCCTAACACTGAACTCTTGAAAAGTCATGGGACCATGCAGCTTGATAAATGTCAATAATTTCCATTGTGCTTTTTTATAATAGCATTTTCCACAAACTGTCAAAATTATTTACACAAAGAAGTTGCATAATGGAAAAACTACCGCCGCCATCGCATTCACCTCCCGTTCAAAACAAATGCAGTTTGGGGTGATTTCTATTCCTACCACAGTCGTTACTTTAACCATTCTGTGTTTATTTACAGTCCTCATTTCCGACCATGCTGCAATGCAAATACACAAATTCACAGTCTGTTCGTAACATTTTTCCAATCCTCATTCAGATTTTTTGACATACATGAAGTCTTGATTTAGAAGAATAAGTGGCATCTTTCCATACTTTGCAAGACAGCCCTTTAGCACAGTCACATCGCTGGAAAATCTCCAAGCCGTGAGAGCCTTTCTTGCGCTGTTTTGTACACACCTCCCCCTGATGCAACACAGGTTTGCAAATTTTGGTCCAGAAATGGCGAGCACAGCAGTACCCCTCAATGCAGTCTGATGATCGTAAGCAGGGGTCTCCTTCATGCCCTAAGAAAAGCAACCAAAATATTTCAGTGCCTGAGACAGAGTGAAAGTATAGATTCAGAATGGTCTGGCTCAACGCTGACTAAGAAACAGAGGATATGATACTCATCGGCTGGTATTTGAAGTGCATAAACACCAATGCGTGGTGGGAGTTAGATGCAAGGAGGATATCAATACAATCTACTGTAAGGCCTAATAAGGAGAAGTTCAACTAATGAAGTCTCATGGTCACAAAGGCATGTGTTACATATTGCATGACCATTACAAGATAAGTAAGGTGTGGCCTGCACAGATTGCACAACTGGAAAATACACTTTCACACCACATCTGACACATGGCTTACAGTAAAGGAACAAATGCTATTCCAAGCACAGAGGCTATGAGTGACATATACAAGCAAATTAGTATAACTGATTTGTGGTCTGTGAATTCCTGAGATATACAGATGATGACAATTCCAGACCTCCCAACATTTCATAGCAGATTACTGTAAGTCAGCCTGGTCTGCGTTGCTGTATCTTGTCTTTCTACAGCGAGGTGAATGAACTGGACTATATTGCAAAAGCAATCCTACCTTTTATGTGTGACAGCTTGGACTGTGGTCTCCCTAGATTCTGCCATCCCAAGTCCTTGCTAGAATAAAGACCGTTTTTTTTGTTGCGTGGTCCTTCCAGCGCAGGGATGTGTGGAGTAAGGATGCTTTCAGTTACTGGTATGCAAATACCTATGGGAATGAGATGTTAGAAATGGGAAGGCCTATTTGAAGGTTGTGGTAGAGGCTGAGAGGCAGTGTTGTCCAGTCAATAGGGAACTGAACTGAAATTCAGGAGGCCTGGGTTCTATTCACGGCTCTGCTAGTGACCTTGAGCAAATCACTGCATCTCTCTGTGCCTGTGTATTTCCCCTCCCACCATATGTCTGTCTTGTTTATTTGGATTCAAGGCACTTTGGAGAGGGACTCCAAATCCTCTTATAACAGGAGCTTCAATCTCAGGTGGGGCATCAGCAATATAAACAATAACAAGAATAAGTTATAACTTCCAAGACGTCATTTTAGTGGAGTAAGACCAGGATGAATTTGGTTCTTTACATTTATTGAAAAAGAATGGTTGTCCAATTTGCTATTGAATCAGTGAATTAATCCATATTTTAAGTAATCTGTCAGCCACCCATAGTTTAATCATGAAATACAGGTTTTGTTAAAAAAAACCTAAACACCTAAAAGAATGGGGGGGTCAGAGAGGTGGTTCACAGTACCTTAAATGAACAGAAATGTACTATGATGTTGCAGAAAATTCAATGAAAAGGGGGATTTAAAAAAATAGTAAACATTCCCCTGGTGTGTTTGACATTGTATTAGTGTGAAACACAACTGCACTGCATTAACACAAGAGTCACGAATCTGACCAGTCACTGCATGACTACACTCTAAATGGTTAGTTATGCATCGAACTTCCTATTGCCACATGCAAATACAGGTTGAGCATGCAATCAAAATGACTGCACCCACAAATAAGGCATACAGTTGCCTACACAGTTTTGAAAATCATGTTTCTTACTAGCAGAGCAAAATCACAGAATCTCTTCTAATCATAAGGAAGAAAGAATATGACATACTTATACAATCCCTGTGCTATAAGTTTTTTGAGATGTTTCCTCTGAAGAAGGAATTGTGGTAACCCAAACAGAAATACTACTACACATGTCCTCTGCTTACATATATTCTCAATATATGCCATTAAACCAGTCACTGTCATATATAAAAGGAAAACAAGAAGAGTTGCTTAAGTACCATTGTTACAGCGGTTCCCAGGGCAGCACATGCCATCTCTGTGGCAACGCTTCTTTTTCCTTCTGCAGATCATGCAGGCAGAAGTAGCTTGATGAGGACTATGGCAGTATCTCCCAACTTCACATTCTTTATCATTAGTGCAAGGGTATGCCTGGTCAAGAAAAAAGAAGGATTTAAAATAAAGTAGTAATGCACAATAATTCTTAATTCATATAGTTCACATCATATTAGCAAAACCAAAACAAGAAAAACAAAATGTGAGAGGTATGTTCAGAGGGAAGGGGGGAAGGGGGAAGAATTTATCAGATCCAAGAAGGGGCCACAAGGGGGTGAAATTAAGGTGTGCTTCTCTATGGCAATTTACAGTTGCCAGAGAGGTCATTCAGGGACTATGGCCAGCTTTCATAAGTTCGAGCAGCCCATAGGCTGCTCTAGCTGATGTTGGAGCTGTGGCAACTTAAGAATCAGGAAGCCATAACCAGATCCTTAATAGCCTTATTCCTTCTTATATCAAGCATATCTTGGTGCAAGAGAGAATCTGGCCTGTATTTTTTAACGCATTCCAAGTAATTAATACATAAAACCTCAGTAATCCAAAGTAAGGAATGAGCAGTTTTATCTTTGGTGGAGATCTACCTGGAAGTGAGTAAAACTCCCAAAGTGTCCTCTGCACTGGATCTTGTCTAAAAATGGGCTAAATACTTAGGTGGCATCTTTACTTTGAAAGGTTCCAAATTCATGTCAAGAACATGGATGAAGAGACCTTTCCCATTAGCCCATGATATTTACACTGAATACTCCCACATTGGTACAAATTCTTCTTTTGCATGCACACTGTTCCCACTGACACCTATCAGTGGGATCCTTTGAAAGCAAACAGTATCAACATCCTCCTAGCCTTACTGCCACTAAGGAAGGAACACATGGAACACTCCTGTATTCATCAAAACCACAATTCTCTTCCACTAAGACCTCCCTTTTTCATGTGCGAATAGCAGAAGATGGCCCTAAGGAGAGAGAAAAAGAGGCTTTGTCCTTCCAGATCAGACATAATGCTTCCATGAGATCCACATAAGGACCCCAGATCATTCCCGAAATCCTACTACTGGCTCCCAAGCAGCTGTAATTGTGCATCACTGCTGTATCTGACTAGTGCATATTAAATTATCCTTTCACTTACACAAGCAAATATATATTGTTATGTTATCTCACATTAATTAATTCAAGACTTTCCACACACGTGCTTTAAAATTATATTCAGTGTTTTATTTAGTTTTCTATTTAACTTTTTGGATTTGGGATGCTAACATGTCTCTCAGAACTAGTGCTGAGAGAAAAATTAGTTTCCCAACAACTGTCAAAAAATGTTGAGGAATTTTTTACATAATTGCCCCCCCAAAATTGTTACTGAAAACAGTCAAAATGATTAATGGAATTATTTGTTTACCACAGAGGGCCTTGTTGGGCTTGTGTAGCTGTTTTCATTGCTATTTTTAGCCATACTAGCTAGATTACGGCTAGCTCAGTTATGCCTACCTGAGCTGCAAATCACACCTTTGATTTCAGTGTAGACATTCCCAAAACCTGTTTCCCAACCAAAGAATTTGCTCCCTGCACAATATGCAGTATTTAAAAAAGCCATTTTCTCACATATGAACATGCAGTAATACAAATAAACACTTGGCTATTTTTGAAAATTTAAATTTACCAGTCTTCACTCAGTGGCATTTACTCCTTCTCCTTTGTAGTTGCCTCAGAAGCTGACACTGCTGCCTCATGGATAGTGGAGGGAGAGAAGGTGGTTTGGCTGACTGGAATTTGGTAATTTAAATGAGGAGGATGAATTTAATCAGGAGCGTCCTCATCCTACACCTTACCGTATGGGGTATCTACTTCTGATTTACCTAAACCAACCTGCCTTGGCTTTCAAGTGCATAGGAATCTCAAGGAGCACAATCCCTCTCGGAGATCCCAGCATGCAGGAGAAGTACGCAGCCTATACTGCAATAAGCATATCTAGCTCTACAAGCTGGTGCAATGAGGGGGATGGAGCCATGGCCCCCTTCTTATCTCCACACACTTGTTTTTAAGGATATATGAGGAGAGCAATCTCTGGGCTTACTGGATATAATCCAATGCCTATTAAGTCATGGAAAACTCCAACTTGACCTCAGTGGATTCTGGATCATGCTTATTGAGCACTGGAACTGCAACTGTCCATTGCCTTTCCATGGGAATTGCAGAGGAAAGTAGAGGATTCCTTTGTGTCCACTTTCCTACTCAAGGACTAGGGAAAATCTCTCCTTTGGTGTTTACCCTCTTCAGTATTTGTAAACAATTATGCTCCCTTTAGTCATTGCTTAATCATGCTATAATTCCCCCATAAATCAGCCCCTCCGCCAGGCAATGTCATGATTTGGTTTGGCAAAACTTAATAAAGTCTAAGTACTTATCTGAAGTTATCCCAGCCCCTTTGATCTAGGAATTTGGCTAGAAAGCCCTTGTCACAAATATAAAGGGAAGGGTAAACACCTTTAAATCCCTCCTGGCCACAGGAAAAACCCTTTCACCTGTAAAGTGTTAAGAAGCCAGGATAACCTCGCTGGCACCTGACCAAAATGACCAATGAGGAGACAAGATACTTTCAAAGCTGGAGGGGGAGAGAAACAAAGGCTCTCTCTGCCTGTGTGATGCTTTCGCTGGGAACAGAAAAGGAATGGAGTCTTAGAACTTAGTAAGTAATCTAGCTAGATATGCATTAGATTCTGTTTTGTTTAAATGGCTGATAAAATAAGCGGTGCTGAATGCAATGTATATTCCTGTTTTTGTGTCTTTTTGTAACTTAAGATTTTGCCTAGAGGGATGCTCTATGTTTTGAATCTGATTACCCTGTAAGGTATTTACCATCCTGATTTTACAGAGGTGATTCTTTTACTTTTCTTCAATTAAAATTCTTCTTTTAAGAACCTGATTGCTTCTTCATTGTTCTTAAGATCCAAGGGTTTGGGTCTTTGTTCGCCTATGCAAGTTGGTGAGGATTTTTATCAAGCCTTCCCCAGGAAAGGGGGTGTAGGGTTTGGGAGGATTTTGGGGGGAAAGACGTTTCCAAATGGGCTTTTTCCCTGTTCTATATTTGTTAGACGCTTGATGGTGGCAGCAATAAAGTCCAAGGGCAAAAGGTAAAATAGTTTGTACCTTGGGGAAGTTTTAACCTAAGCTGGTAAAAATAAGCTTAGGGGGTTTTTCATGCAGGTCCCCACATCTGTACCCTAGAGTTCAGAGTGGGGAAGGAATCTTGACAGCCCTAAAGAACTAACTGGTTTTCTTGTGAGATTTCCAATTGGGTACTTCCTGATTTCAGTTAAGCAGGAAATGCCACTATGGAGTGCAAAGATAATCCAAAGAGTAACTTTTTAATTAAAAAGTTAACCAAAACTTTTTGCGTCTAATTTTTTTTTTAAATATAACAGTGAGGGAAATGAACAGAGCATCAGCCTCAGCTTTCAGTTTCCTGGGTTCATAGAATCATAGAATATTAGGGTTGGAAGGGACCTCAGGAGGTCATCTAGTCCAACCCCCTGCTCAAAGCAGGACCAATCCCCAACTAAATCTTCCCAGCCAGGGCTTTATCAAGCCTGACCTTAAAAACCTCAAAAGAAGGAGATTCCACCACCTCCCTAGGTAACACATTCCAGCACTTCACCACCCTCCTAGTGAAAAAGTTTTTCCTAATATCCGACGTAAAACTCCCCTACTGCAACTTGAGACCATTACTCCTTGTTCTGTCCTCTGCTACCACTGAGAACAGTCTAGATCCATCCTCTTTGGAACCCCCTTTCAGGTAGTTGAAAGCAGCTATCAATCCCCCCTCATTCTTCTAAACAATCCTATTTCCCTCAGTCTCTTCTCATAAGTCATGTGTTCCAGTCTCCTAATCATTTCTGTTGCCCTCTGCTGGATGCTTTCCAATTTTTCCACATCCAGGTTCTGTTGGTTTGCTTCACTTCACAGCCTTATCCTTTTTTATGGGTAGAGTTTTGTCTTCATTGTAACAATCTGCCTGTAGATACTGGTTTTGAGAGAGCCAGCTGTTCACCAGTGATGTGTCAAACGAGTGGAAATAATTTAAAGCCTGAGATGGAATTTTTCACTGTGTTACGAAATGTACCATTATCAACAGTGGCTGAGCCAGTTTATAAATAAAGCTTTAAACCATCAAATCATGGCAAATGTATTTTTTCACACAGTAAAAATTAGCACAGCTGCTCTACTATCCCGTGCTGAGTTCATTTGTTGTGGAAAATGTAAAGGCTGAAACTTATTCCAGTTGTGATCTTGACGGAGCTTGAGTATGGTTCACTACACTGACTGCTGGGATTAGGTAACCAAGTAACAGTTCAGGGGTAGATTGCCTGTACCTGTCCTTGCATGGGCATGCAGGGGGCAGACAGCCAGGATCCTTCCACACCACACAAGGACATGGGACGAGCACAGCTCCTGCATTTGGGGAACTGGAAGGACTGCTTCCCCCACGCATCCTTGGGGGTGTAAATTAATCCAAAAGGGTCAGGGAAGAGGCAGGGCCATAATTCACCCTTCAAGTCTTCCTTCTCCAATGAGGCCAGCAGAGAGAGGCCCGCTGCACAAAGAGCCCTTGAGACTCCTCAGCCATGGGGCAACATGTCGCTCTCAATGGCTCTAACTGTTTATCCACTAAGCACAGCTCTGATTATAAAGGAACCTCAATGAAACTGAAAGATAATATTTAGCACTCACTGCAGCTTCATTTAGATACACTCATTTCATGTCTTCAGCCCAAAATTAGATTTGGTCATTTCAATAAAACTATAGAATAATGCAGATCGGATCTATGACATGGAGTTGGAAGCTCAAATTGCATTATTAAATCTAATAAGAGATCCTTTGTTTTTACACGGTTTGCTGCTCCACCCCTGCCCCTAGTTTCAGTCTGCTGTGAGCCAATTCATAATAGATATTGCTAATTTTGGTGGCAAGAAAACACATTTCAAAGACTTGTTAAATTACTGCTGGGGTAGAGGACTCTGCAACAAGATAGTTTGAATTTTGCTTTCCAAGGGGTGTCTCTGGAAAGTACATCTCTCAGTTTGTGTCATGGCATTCAGGTGGATC